TCGAGCCAATGAGCCAAGACCCCCACACTTCATCCAGGACCCCTCCCAAGGTCCAAACAGACGGGGCCAGGTGAGGAGTGTGTTACCTCAGCTGAGGACCAGTGCCCCGGGGAGGAGTTGGCACAGACGGCAGTCTGGAATGCTCTGTGTTCCTCCCACCATCTACAACCTTTAAAACCTAAGGGCTCCAACATAAGGACAGGTCATTCAAGTGGAGCTGTCCTCATTCAAAAGCGACCCTTAATGGAAGTGGGGAATCCTTCAGTGCCCTTCAGAATCAATCCTTCAGGTGCTCCCTGGCTCCTGAAACATTTGGGGTATTGGTCACCTGACCTTGACTCTTGCCTGGCAGCCTGCTTCACCTCCATAGGAGGAACAGTCTATGGCTACTGCCTGGGTGGGGGGCCTGGCCAGGGACACCCCCATAAGGAGTGAGTCTTAGGGCCCCGTCTTCAGGCTCTGTTCCTTTGTGGCTTCTATCATGACAGAATAATTGAGCAGTAAGTTTTGTAACATCGATAGCCTTCAAGAATGCAAAGCCCTACCCCCATTCCTCATGTGATACGTTCCCACATTACTAATTAATCCATTGTGTAGTGCATGTCTTCCTGAAAGGAAAGTGAGCCTGCCAATATCAGAGAGGGGGTCTCTCTCAGTTCCCACTGCAATCCCTGCCTCATAGCTAAGGGTCTGTGAGTGCAGTTGGTGGTCTCCACCCATGGAAGCAGAGGAAAACATCCACTGAATGAATGAGTGAGGGGACACCACTATTCCCCTTTACAGATACGGAAACTGAGGCTCAGGTTAGGTGACTCATCCAAGTTCCCACAGCTATTAAGTGGCAGAGCAGGGTGTGACCCAGGCTGCTCAACACAGACATTCATCTTGCTTCACAACGGTGACCTCTTGGCGAGGGCAATCTGGTGGCACATGAGCTCTGACAACATCTGTACACTTACTGCGACGCATGGGGATGTGCCTTCCCCTGCTGTGAGCTTCTAGGGCTGGCCCCTTCCTCCACCCTCACTGTCTCTCCTCCAAGGCAGAGCACTGGGACCCCCCAGCCCAGGGCTGTCTCTGCTGGCATGTGCTGGAGGCCCAGGATGGCACAGCCCCCCTCTGCTGGCTGCAGGAGAGGCAGGCATCTGGGGAGAGGACGGTGAGGAGGGCTCTCAAGCCACAGGTCTGACACCCAGCAAGGGCCCCAGCCCCACCGACCAGTCCAGCTAGAGGGGTTAACACATCTCCATCCGTCACCACATGAAAGACTGGAGAGGCTGGGGGCTCCAGGGAAGGGGTCTCCAAGGGTCCTTGGCCTCTGGTCCACCTCAATGCATAGCCAGCACCAAAGCACCTGACAGCCTCCTGGCAATCCCAGGAGCGACTTTTGTGTTGGGGGCCAGGAAAGGGTGAGGCCACAGAGAGCGGTGGGGGCCTGTTGTCACCCCTTCCTGCCCAGGCTAAACTCTCCCCACCCATTAGTCTCTTCCCCTTCCGTAGATCCAGGCCCAGCCTGTCACACCGCAGGGTTGATTTATTTTTCTTGTGGCCTTGCTCTCGGAGGGGCTAGAGGGCAGCACGTCGTCACCCTCTCTAAATATTACCACTCCGCAGAGAATTGACAAGCGTGACTCCTCACCCCTCCACTCTCCAGCTAGAGAATCCCCAGGCCTTTCTTTGTTGATAGGAGCGCGATAATAATCATAATAGCAGTACCAACAATAATAGCTGTTCCCAATTACTGAACACATGTCCTGTGCCAGACGCTGCACTAAGTGCTTTCCTCACACGATTTCATTTGCTTTTCACAACCCTACGAGGTAAGTATTCTTCCTGCCATATCATGTAGATGAGGAGACTGACGTTCACAGCATCAGTACCTATAACTTGCCCTGGTCACATGGCCACGAACAGCAGAGCTCGGGTTACTCGCAGGGCTGCCTGACCCCACGCCTAATCACTGTGCCATGAGCCCAGCCCCAAAGTGCCCTTCTACACTATGATGTCACCCCTCCACCTACTACTCAACCCCCAATCTGAGTCAAAGGTTCAACCCAAAAGAGAGACCAAGCGTGCAATGTGTTTCCATCAAGAGCTGCAGCCAGGGTTGCTAATGGAACAAGAAACAGGGCTCCCGCGAAGTATTTGCATATGATTGCTTGTGGCTGGCCTCAGATGTGTACTAGCCACAACTAGCCTGGCAATTTCAGAGTCAGAATTATGTCTGTCCCTATAAAAAGGGCAGCATCTTGATTTTTCTCTCCTTTTGTCTCTTTCCTGCTTGCTGTTATTGATCCTCTGCACGTCCTAAAACAGAAATACCCTCATTGTGGCTGCAGATCTGATTCTTGCCACATGGACACTGACGCTCCAGCCACTTTGTGATTAGAGTACTATTCTTTTCTTATTTCAATGTTTACTTATTTTTGAGAGAGAGAAAGAGAGTGTATACACATGTGAGAGTGGGGGAGGGGCAGAGGGAGAGGGGACAGAGGATCTGAAATGGGCTCTGCACTGACAGCAGTGAGCCTGATGCGGGGCTTGAGCTCACAAGCTGTGAGATCATGACCTGAACCAAAGCTGGACACTCAACCGACCGAGCCACACAGGCGTCCCTAGAGTACTAGTCTTTTACCCATCCAAAGTCAAGCCTCTGTGGGAGTGGAAGGGTGAGGGCGATGTCACCCCAGGGGTGGGCCATTCTTTGTAGTGGTGGAAGAGGCGTGAGTCAGCCCCTCTGACCAAACCCCCTTGCTGGAGGGATAGGGGCCCAAAGCCACTGAGAGGAGGAGATGAGTGGGCAAGGTGCTGGGCAGAGATGCAGAGGTGGCCGGATGTGTTAACCAAGTCAGGCTGAGAATCTATGCCTTCAATGCCCAACTGTTTCTGAGCACTAAATTTTCCTCATTCCCTTCGTGTTCTACCTTATATTTGAGTGGAATCTGCCGAAAGCACTGCCACACTGAGAACAGTCAAAGAAAGCACCTTTTGTCCAAGCTGTGTTTGGAAGGACGCCAGGGCCAGTGAGATGGTGAAGACAGGATCAAGAGAGAAAATCCCAGAAACAGGGAGCTCAGGGCTTTATATGTGCTAGAACCACTAGGCAGGTTACTCCTTCCCAACCTGATTTGGGCTTCTGGGATTTGTTCTAATAGGGAAGGCTCTTTCTTTCCATGTCATAGAGTCCCCAGATCTCAGGGGTTTCAATCACACAGGAAAGGCCCATGGTGGGTACACACACACACACACACACACACACACACACACACACACACACACGCTAGAAGCCAAACCTCCTTCCTCTCTCTCTTCTGAGTCTCCCCTTGGCTTGGGGGCTCCCTGACTCCTTCCCACAAACCCTCATACACACTCCTTTCTCCTAAGCATATAAAAAACCCCTAGTCAGGCTAGGTAAGAACTCTGATACCAAAAAGCTTTCTGGAGACAGGTGTCCTAATTAACCAGATCTGTGATCTTAGACAAATTAATCTCTGTGCCTCAGTTTCCTATAAAATGGAGATAATAATAGCACCAACCTCTTATATTGTGAGGACTCCATGAATATAGTGAAGCATTGACCACTGTGTGAGTTAAAGAAGGCACTATACGAGTTTAACTACTGTTGTTACCAATTATTCCACCTTGTGGGTCAGAGATGGGTGTGAGAAGAAGTGGGAAAACAGTACGTCAGCACAACCTACCAAGTCCTGGGTCCCACTTCTCTCTCTGAGCTTTGGGACACCTCCTGAGCAGACATGGGGGGGACTCGGCCATAGGCATCCTTCTTCCTGCTGCTGTCTATGCTCTCCCTGCCTGACAGTGGCGCATGGGTGGGCTTCAGGGGGATTGGGGTACCCCCAAAATGGGGACAAAAGTGTTGTTCCGGTACCTTTTTCTCCCAAAGGTTTTGAGTCTGTTTTGGAAGATGGATACAGGACGCGGTGGGCAGGAACAACGGTCTTAGATTCCAGGGCACACTTGGGAACTGGACAATTCTGCCTGAACTTCTGACAATTTCTACAGGAAAACACAGTGCCTGCCCCGCCCCCGTGGCCATCAACCTCACCTTGAAAGGACGTATATTTGTGTGTGTGTGTGTGTGTGTGTGTGCGCATGCACAGTAATTCATACTATCCCATTTAATCCCTTTATGAAAACTCAGCCCAAGCCTCAAAAGGTTCCCTCTACACCAGCCTTGGAAGACTTGTGGGGCCAAAGAAAACCTGCCCAGGGAGAAAGTAACTCTCTCAAAGGCAAACACAGTAGCTCCTTTTCTGGGCATATGGGAGGATTACTGGGCTCTCCAGGAAGCCATGCTGGATGAAGGCCACTGTATCGCTTCATGTCCCCATGGAACTCATAAGCAGATTTTGCACTCTATTAGTCTACATCTGTTTGCACGTCTCTGCTGCCGGCAGCTTCTGTCTAGAGAAGTGGCAAATGTGCAGTAAAAGGGGCATGGGCTTTGGGGCAGGCCAAACTAGGTGTACCTCAGCTTTGCCACTCCTCGCTGAGTGACCCTGGGTGAGGGTCTTAGCCATTCCAAGCTAAGTCTCTAAACGAGGGATGCTGATAAGGGGCCCCACTTTGCTGCATGGTCAGGATGATTAGCAATAGATGGGTAATGGCTGGTTCAGCGCCTGACATACACTGGCTTAGAAGGCATGGAAGCTGCTAGATGGTGATGAAGGTTGAGACGATGATGGGGATATGTGGGTCCTAAGTCTGCTCTCTGTCTCCCTTGTTAGGCTAGGAATTTCCCCAACAGCTGGTGTTATTGCTTTCTCCTTTCTCCTCCTTCCTTCTATATCTTCTCCCTGCAGCTTCACCTCCAACCTGTAGGGGTATGGTACGGCCAGGGCGCCCCAGACAACACACACCCCAAAGCCACAGACCACCCTGTTGGGCTGTGCTCCCTTGAAGGGGAGGAGGTAGGGATGTTGTCTCCCTGGGGGATCAGTCCTTCCACCCCCAGCCTCACCCCCCAGCCTCATTCCTACCTCACGTTGTCATGTTTCTGGATGTAAATCTTATGGAACATCATATCCTCCTGCTTGGCATTGATGTCTGCTTTCATCTCCATGGCAACATGACGGGGCAGGACAGACAGCAGGAGCCGCTCCTGGGGAGGGAAGCACATGCTTTTGTCATAGGTCCTTCCACCTGCCTGGGTCCCCACCTGTAAAGTCCTAGAAAACCTCTCAGGTCACCTGAAATCCACGGAGCTAACACCTGTGTGGGGGTGGGGCTAGAGTCATGCCCCCAGGGCTACTTGAATCCTGTCTCCCTGGGCAACCTCCTGGTTTTTCTGGGCACATACTTGGGGAAGAGCCCTCCTGGTGAACCTGTAGTACTGAGCCCCCTGGCATCCTGGATGTCACCTGAGACTCCATGTGACCTCGTGCAAATTACTGAACCTCTCTGAGCCTCAGGTTCCTCATCTATAAATAGGGATGAGGTTGTTGAGAGCATTAAATGAGATTCATTCAATTAGTCATCAAATATTTACTGAGCACCTATCATGCTGGGCGCCAGGAGTTATAACTGTGAGTGAGACAGGCAAGGTTCCTCCTTCACAAAGCTCCCAGTCTCATGGGGGTGTGGGGTACTCTGCGGCACTGAGCAGGGGTACCTGACCCGGGCTGGGGAGAATGGGGTGGCCAGAGAAGGCTTCGCAGGGACCAGAAGGAGAAGGTTCAAGTGCTCCATCTCTACACAGGGGAGAGTAACCCAGAAGAGAGGGGAAATCACGCTGACTGACAAACTGAGAGAAGAGGTGGGAAAGAAGCAGGGAGAGGGGCCAGGGCCACACAGTGGAGGGGAGGGTCATGTGGGGCCCCGATAGGGTCTGGACTTGGCCTCCCTTCTGCGTCCTCCTCCCAGGCCCTCAGCTGTGGAGCTGAGCACGACGCAGCAGCATCCTCGGGGGTATCTCATTGCATGCTCCCAGCACGCCCTGCATTGAAATCTGTGCTCTGCTCCAAACACAGAGAACCACGGGAAGCTTCCCAAGCTGCTGGTGGTGTTTTCTTGCCTTTGCACACAATCTCCTCAGCTAGACTCACCATCCTCACATATGGCTGGTAGCCCTCCTTCAGGCTTCCCCCCTTCCTGGCTCTGGCAGCAGCACCCCCTCACCACCCAGGGCCTTCCTACAGAATCCCTGATCACTCGGGGTTTTGGTGACTTGTTAACAGGGTCTCCCTGTAGCAATGAGATACCCCGAGGATGGGGCTGTGTTGTGCTCAGCTCCACAGCTGACGGCCTGCGTGCGGCCTGGAAAACACTGTTAATCTAGCGAGGGTGCTCTCTGTGGGTTAGCTTGGTCTCCCTGAGCATCAGTGGACATGGCCACTGAAGGCCACCTCCTATTTACTGAACTCTCAGTAAATGGTTACTGGTGACAAAAACAAAATAAAGAGCAATTCTGTGGAAATCTAAGACAGCTGGGAGAAAGTGTGCTACATACGGTTTATATCCATGAAAGATCTTCCTACAACTATAACCACTTCTGGGCTGAGGGTCAGGAAGGTGGGGGGGGGCGTTGGGGAACAGTTCTGAGTCCCATTATCAGGTGGCACCGAGGAGTGTTCCCAAGGACCCAAGGGTGGGGGAAGGCCCGAGAGCCACAAGGCTCTGGCTGGGTGAGGAGTATCCACCCCCAGTAAGTACGCCTCTCCTCCCTGGTATCTTGGCTCAGAACATGGTAAAGCAAACAGATTTTCTCTCCCAAATCCCTGTGGATTTGCTGGAATGTCCAGCCTGTCCAGGGCTAGTGCAAGTAAACGGTGATGAGCTATAAAATGTTCTTTTTACTGGAGAAGGGACAAGGTCCAGGAGTGAGAAGGGACACTCCCTAACACAAAAAGGGACGGATCTCTGGCAAGAGATGCCAGAGCCTGGAACTGGGATGAGAGAGGGGGCCGTTGAGGAGCATAGGGGCCTCCAGTAGGTTGCAGACGTGCAGCAAGCATGTCAGACAAAGACAGTGGGAGGACTCAGGGACACTGCTGAGCATGGGTCTCGTTCAAGAGCTGGACCAGGAGTTCAGACAGGGCCAAAAGAATGCCTGGGGCAAGCCAGGCCGCCGACTGGACAGCATGAGCTGGGGACCTGGCAGGACACAACGGCCACAGCGGCAGGGCTGGACAGGAAGCAGGGATAGGCAGCGACTCGCGGGGGCGGGGAGGAATGGTGCCAGAGCGTCACCCCCTTGCTCAGCCATCCAGATATGGCCAGCCCGTGCCATTAACTCCTCAGGATGCATCCAGATGGAGTCAGAGACCCTCTCACACTGTGGTCAAAGGGCACTTGGGACGTCCACAGCACACGCTCTGTGCCAGCGAGGAGGGTGCAGGGGACTACTGCTGTCTAGGCCTTTGTCTCCCTTATCCCCAAGCTCGAAGGCAGCAGGACTCCATTCAGCTTGCTGGGTAGGCACAAACATAAGAAGAGAGGAGAACCTGCTTTGGAGTAACCTCATCTCTAACAACTACAACTGGTACAAGTCTAGTGGGGGCCCCCGTCACCCTGCTGACCTGCCCACACGCTCCCCTGGGGTCACACGGTCCCATCTCTGGAGCTCCTGCCTGAGAGCTATTCAGCTCCATTGCGGCCCAGGGTCCCCAGACCTCATCTGGTTCACACGCAGGAGATGACACAATGGTCCTGAACCCCAAACAGGATGCCAGGCAGCCAGGAGGGGAACGCTGACCAGCCCTCAGTCCTTGCCCTTCCCTTACCCAAGAGAGCACACAGGGGCAGGACACCCTGCCCCAGTGCTCACTCGGAAAAGTCCTGCAAGTCTCTGGCCCACGTGAGTGGCTTACTTCCCTCCCAAAAGTTCTCCGAGGACGAGGTTTAGGGTGAGACAACCATCATCCTTTCTCTGAACCAACCAAACCCCAGAACTCAGCACAGAGGACGTGCCTGGCGAGGGTGTCCCAGGGGTTGACAGCTCTCCCTTCTCTCCTCTCTCATGGGGGAGCACCTGAATCCCAGGTGGGAATGCTCATGCAGACGCTCCTTCACCTCATCAGCACTGGGGACAGGTGGAGGGTGCTTTTCTGTGCCCAGGGCCTGGGCAGCCTGGCTTCTTTGCAGTCCACAGGGGAACACTGAGGAGGCAGTGGGCAAGGGCTGGGGTAGAGCTCTTTCTCCAAAGTCTCCCTAGAGCATGCCCACAGAGCCAGAAATGGTAGACTCCCTCCAGGGAAAACATTCCCCTCTGGCTGGGTCCCTGCCCGGAAGACAAGGCAGGGCAGCTACAAGGAGCTGAGCTGGGGGGGGGGGGGGGGGTGGCGGGCAGCTGGGCTAAGGCAGGTCCTGGGCCTGTGCTCCCTGTAGCCACGAAAGGACAAGAGGGCCCTACTCACCTGTTGCTGGTTCTCCCGTTGTGAGTGGAGCCGTGCCTGGATGCACTCCCGGGTTTCCTGGAAGGCCTGTCTCTGAGAGACCTCAGCCGGGTAGTGGGTGCAGACACCCACAATGTTGGTGCAGGAGAAAATGAGGACATTGGAAACAAGCTGCAGAGGGAGAGATGAAGACACCGAGCTCAGGCCTGGAGCTCCAACCAGTCACTGGAGCCCCAACCCTGACCCTCCGGCCCCCAAGCATAGGGCCCCCAGCCTCCACATTAGCAAAAACCACCTAGCTGTGAGCAAACCAATGCCAAGGACACCCACCCATGGCTGACCACAGGGAGTAGCCAAGCATAATAGGTCAGGCTCTCTGACTTCCTCAAAGGCCAAAACTTGGCTGGCCTGTGACAGGTTATGGCCCTAAAGAACCAAGTCTCTGAATAATCATACTGAACGTGTCCATAGCCCCAGCGCTGAAAAGGTTGGGGATACTGGTGATGTTGTGATGGAGCTGTGTATTGTGGGAGGTGGCAGGGGCATTGCAAGGTTCCATAAGCATTGCGAGATTTTTTTTTGAAAGTACAATAAAGTCCAGGGCAGGACAAAGGGCTACCCTTTGGCAGAGAATCCTTAGCTTATTATTATTTTTATATTAGCTTATTATTCCTCAGGGATCAACTGCGATGAAGCACGCACTTGCTGGCTACCCATGAGATACCCAGCACTGTGCTAAATCCCCTGGGAAATGAGAGACGGATAAGGTCCCCAGACAGTAGGGATCAGTGGCAATAGCTGGTCTCATCTCCTCTTCCTCGGCTTCCATTCCTTCTCTGCACCAGCACCACAGCCCTCTGACAACTCCATCATACCAGCTGGAGAGCATCCACCATCACCCTCTGCTCCTCTCTAGTGCCCTTCTCCGTGCTGACTGAGGTATGTGTGTGGAAAAATACTACTGCCCCTCAGGTCACAGAGACAAGGTTGGAATTCTTTGGAAGGGAATATTTACTGAAAAGTGAAGGGAAAGCAAAACACAACACTACACACCCCACGAAAGCAAGTTTCACAGCACATTTCAGATCCTGGCAATGGTGCTGCTGAGACAAATTTTTTCTTGGTAGGTACAGCTCCTGGGATATCTAGGTAAACTAATCCTGGTCCTGCCCTGGCCTTAGGCCACACAGGACAGAAGCCATGCAAAGATGTTCAGGCTTCTAGGACTCCATCCCTCCCTTGAAAAACTTAATTCTTAGTCTCAACTACAGAAGGGGTAACCCTAATTGGCCCTCGAACCTTCCGTTATAGTTCCAGAAGCCCTCTGGGACTTCAGCTGCCTGGCGGTGACCTGGCAGACAGCCCTCCACACTCTTCTTCCAGGGTCTTCTTTGTCCACTGGATCCTAGAATTCCTGTCCTTGACTCAGGTCTGCATTCCACCTGAAGGCTTTCCCCACCCCAGCTCTGAGGTACTCTGACCTCTACCCGGGGTCCTCAGCCAGCTTAGGCCTGGAGGCCATGTGGGCTCATGCGGGATGTGGTGCCATGTTTCCCTGGAGACATCCTTTATCGTGACTGTCCCAATCCATGAACAGAAAGAGACTCTCTTTCCTGTCTCAAAGTCCTGCTCTCTCCTTGGCTACACAATAAATTCTGGTTTCCTGGCTAAAGGACATTATAAGCTCCCCTCAACCACCTCCTGGATATCTTCCAGATGCCTCCTGGATGTGCCTTCAGGGAAAGGGCAAACTCAGATTACCAGCTCCACCAACTCTTATGTTGACTCACAACTCCCCCAAGCCCCATCCCAAACCCATCCACCTCAGAATCCTACCATTGTCATTTCATGTAAAAACATGACAGAGAAAAACACAACCTACTTATCACAAGGAAAGAAAACCCCTGCTCTACAGAAGCTTACAATCCAGGTGAAGAGATAAGTGGTCAAGACTGACAAAGAACCAGTGATAGGAAACAGAAACTGCCTCACACTAAGCAAGAGGGAGACGAGGGGAGCATGGGGGGCAGGAGGGCAGAGGAGGGCACACTGGGCCTGGGGTTGGAGGCATAATTGGTGAGTCTGGCAGGCATGGGAAAGGACATCCCTGGAAAGAGTATCCACTAAACTCATGTTTGTGAGGTACTCAGGATCCTTGAATAAATAATCCAGGCTTTCTGATCCTGAAGAGAAGTCCATAGAGAGAAGATAGAGCTGGAAAGGCAGACCAGAGCCAGACTGAAGGGGCATCTGAATGTCAGGCTGAGAGGCCTAGCACAATCCTTACAAAATAGGAGCATGAAGGACTAATGAAGGAAACAGCAGCAGCATGGGCACATAGCTTCAAGAAGATAACCGGGGGCGCCTGGGTGGCTCGGTCGGTTGAGTGTGTGACTCTTGGCTTTGGCTCAGGTCATGATCTCACAGTTCATGGGCTGAAGTGCAGGGCCTGCTCGGATTCTCTCTCTCCCTCTTTCTCTCTCTGCTCCTCCCACACACATGCTCTGTCTCTCAAACTTAAAAAAAAAAAAAAAAAAGATGACGACTCATCAAGGGCAAAAGTAATGCAGGGAGTGGGAGACAGGTCAGGAGGCTGCCACAGAAGCCCAAAGATTTATATGAGGCTGGGGGCCAGGCAAAGCAGAGCTGACTCAGAAGGAGGAGCCCCTAAGACCAGGGGGATAAGGTTCAGGAAGAAATAGACTGTGGCCTACAGTAGTAACCAATGCAAGTGACTCTGAAGGAAAACCCTGAAGACATACCTCTAGGAAGTCACTGGGACCACTGAGAAAGAGATAAGGAAAAAGAATGAAATGAGGAGATGAAGGCTGAAGGCACAATCTTCAGGGAACGCTGGAACATGTTCTTCCCTAACTAGAATATTCTCCAGCATGCTCCTTTTTGAAAGGAAAGGAAGGTACCAGACGACTAAAAACAGGAGAAAGGAAAAACTGGGAAGGAGAAGATGAGGAGCCGCCTTCAGACAGGAAATTGTATCATAATAATGCCACATGGCCAAGTGCGCTTTATCCCAGGAATGGAAGGCTGGTTCAACTTCGAAAAATCAGCGTAGGGTCACCTGGGTAGCTCAATTGGTTGAGCACCCGACTTCGGCTCAGGTCATGATCTCCCAGTTCGTGAGTTCGGGCTCGCTGATGTCAGCTAAGAGGCTGCTTCAGATCCTCTATCCCCCTCCCTGCCCCTCCCCCGTTTGTGCTGTCTCTCAAAAATAAACATTAAAAAACAAAAGAAAAGAAAAATCAATGTAATTCACCATATTAACAGACTAAATAGAAAAAAACATATAGTTATTTCAGTAGTTACTGAAAAAATATATGGAAAAAATTCAACATCAGTGAACGATTAAGAAAGAAAAACTCAGAGCACCTGGGTGGCTCACTCATTTAAGTGTCCAACTTTGGTTCAGGTCATGATCTCGCAGTTCATGGGTTCAAGCCCCATGTCAGGCTCTGTGCTGACAACTCGGGAGTCTGGAGCTTGCTTCAGATTCTGTGTTTCCCTCTCTGCCCCTTCCCCACTCGTGCTCTCTCTCTCTCTCTCTCTCTCACACACACACACACACACTCTCTCTCTCTCTCTCTCAAAAATAAACAAACATTAAAAAAAGAAAAAAAAAAGAAAAATTTGGATGACTGGGTGACTCAGTCAGTTAAGCATTCAACTTCAGCCCAGGTCATGATCTCATGGTTCTTAAGTTTGAGCCCCATGTTGGGCTCTGTTCTAACAGCTCAGAGCCTGGAGCCTGCTTCAGATTCTGTCTGTCTGTCTGTCTCTGCAACCCCTCCACTCACACTCTGTCTCTCTCTCTCTCAAAAATAAATAATCATTTTTAAAAAAATTAGGAATGGCAGGGAGAGTCCTGAATCTGATCAATGGCATATGCAAAAATGTGTAGTTAACATCACACTTAATAGTGAAAGACTGAATGTTTCCTGCTAAGACCAGGAACAAAGCAAGATAGTGCCCTTTCATCACTCTTATTCAGCATTGTACTGGAGGTTCTAGATGATGCAATAAGACAGGAAAAAGACAGGAAAAAGGCATACAGATTGGAAAGGAAGAAATAAAACTGTCTATATTTGCAGATGACATGATTGTGTCATGAAAATCTCCTCCAAATTCTACCAGAATTAATAAGCAAGTTTAAAAATATAAAGATACAAGATCACAGGATACCAGATCAATATATAAAAAGCAACTGCAATACTTGACAAATATTTCTTCCATAATAAAGTCAGTCAATGACTCAGTCTATTAACACACATATACACAACTGGGATAAGGCAGAGACAAGACTTAACCCAGTTGTGATAATTTGCTAAACCCATGCATCGCTTATCTTTCATTTACAAAAGAAAAAATTAATTTAAAAAAAAAGCAACTGCATTTCTAATGCAAGCAATAAACAATCAGACATGGAATCTTTTAAACTACCATTTAAATATCACCAAATCTATGAAATATTTATGGATTAACCTAACAAAAAGATGCAAACCTGTTCACTGAAAACTATAAAACACTGATGAAAGAAATCAAAAAGACCTGAATAAATGGAGAGATATACCATGTTTCACATGTTGGAAAATTCAATATTATTCAGATGTCAATTCTCCCCAAAATGATGTATAGCTGCAACACATTCATAATCAACATCCAAGCAAGATTTTTTTTTAGATATTAACAAATTAACAAGCTGAGTTGATAATTTATATGGAAAAGCAAAGCAACTAGAATAGCCAAAATAATTTTGAGAAAGATGTTCTAGTTGGAAGACTCCCACTACTCAATAGCAAGACTTACTATAAAGCTGCAGTAATTAAGGTAGTGCAATACTGGCATAAGGACAGAAATACAGTTCAGTGGAATAAAACTGGGAGTCTATAAATAAACCCTTACATTTATGATTAGTTGATATTTGACAAGGTATCAAGACAGTTCAGTGGGGGAAAACTACTCCTTTCAGTAAATGATGCTAGGATAACTTGATATCCATATGAAAAATAATGAAGTTGGATCCCCTACCTCACACCATATACAAAATTAACTCAAAGTGGATCAGAGACCTCAATGTAAGAGCTATAGCTATAAAACTCAGAAGAAAACATAAGAGTAAATCCTCATGACCTGGGATTAGACAATGATTTCTTAGTCATGACACCAAAAGCACAGATGACAAAAATTTAAAAAAGATCAATTACACTTTGTCAAAATTAAAACCTTTTGCTCTTTAAAAGGCACCATCAAGAAACTAAAAAGACAACGCACCAAATGGAAGAAAATATCTGCAAATCATATATCATACTTTTATTTTTTACAAATATATAAAAGCGACTAAATAAAGAAAGGACAATCTTTTCAACAAATGGTGCCAGAACAATTGGCTATCCATAGGCCTAACTCAAACCTCAAAAGATACATAAAAATGTACTCAAAATGGTTCACAGGCTCAAATGCAAATTTGAAACTGTTATATTTCTACAGGAAAACACAGGACTTCAGGTTAGGTGAAGATTTCTCAGATGCAACAGCAAAATCATGATCCAT